AGTGGGGCAGTTGTTGAAACGAATTCCTTTGATGTGTTCATCCCCCACGGCTTTGTTCATCAGCACAGACAGTACATTGGCAACCAATATAAACAGATAGGGGGATAACGGATCACCTTGTCGGATACCCCTCGAAGGTTGAAAGTAGGGCAATGGCTCTCCATTTAATTTAACAAAGTGAAAGTCACCGTAGAAACACATTGCATTATCCAGCTTTACCCATTTTGTGCAAAATCCAAATTTCAAGAAGCAAGCTTCCAGAAATCCCACTCTATTCGATCGTACGCTTTTTTCATATCTAGTTTCAAGACCGCCCGGAACTTTCTTTCTCTTTCTCACCCTTAGTTGATGAAGCACCTCTTGGACAATTAGAACATTGTCTTGGATTTGTCGTCCACTAACAAAAGCACTTTGCTCTTCGCATATCAAATCTGGTAGCCAAGGCTTTAGTCTGTTAGCCAGGACTTTTGAGATGATTTTATAAATAAAATTGCACAAACTTATAGGACGATACTGTTCCAGTGTCTCCGGGTTAGGTACTTTGGGAATAAGGACAATATGAGTCTTGTTTAAAATTGGATTTAACATTCCGGACGTAAAGAAATTTTGCACCTCCTTGAATACATCATGCTGCACCTCTTCCCAAAAGTGTTGATAGAATTGCCCATTTAGTCCATCCGGCCCTGGTGCCTTAGTGGATCCCAACTGGAAAACTGCTGCCTTTACTTCCTCTAGTGTCACTTCAGTTGTTAGACAACAGTTTATTTCTTCTCCAACCAAGTTGTGACAATTTTCTAACACTGGTTGAAAATTGCGAGAGCCCTCTGAAGTATAAAGGTTCTTAAAGAAATTCTCCGTTGATTGCTTTAATTGATCAACATCTCGTATCCATTCCTCATTTTCAGATTTCAGCATTGTAATTCTGTTTCTCTGCCGTCTTTGTGGCTCTGCTGTTTACTTCCTTAGGAATGGGAGGAAATCGCAGCATAGTACGTTACGTGCTGCAATGGCAATTGCATTGAAGGGCCTATAAAGAAGAGAGCCTATAAAGAAGAGCTCTCTCTCTCTCTCTCTCTCTCTCTCTCTCTCTCTCTGTTAAGGACACTTTGGAGTAAGTTCCAAGTGTTAGGGGTTCTGTGTACATTGTTGTAATGAGTTGGTGGATGGATTTTGGCTGAAGACTTGCAGAGCTTTTGATGCCTTTGCACATGGCTGCTTTTGGCCCTTTTATCCTCATCACCATGTCTCTTTGGAAATCATGAGTAGAGAGGAGGGGTTGGGGAAATTTTTTTGTGATTTTGGACATTGGTTTGAGGATGTGTTGGTACACTTGGTCAAGCCAAGTCCATAGGGCATGGGAATAGATTACTAGGGGCCTAGAGAAAATTGGATGGATTGGTGGGGCTCGCGGGAGCTCCGATGACTTAATTAGGGATGTCGGCAGATCGAGTTGAATTGGTTTTACGCCCCCGTCAAATCTTGTAGGTTTGTAGGATTGATTCAAAATATCTTACACAAATAATCTTATGACTTATGAGATTTGAGATGGCTTTATGATTTAGTCGGTGGATACTTTATGATTTGATCCCGATGAATTATATTATTGGAGTAAGATACAGCACATGGGCATTCGAAACCCCATCTTGACTAAAGAATAGGTTTTTTGGATAGTGCTCTAACTAAATCGCATAATTGCATTATTCATGTTTTGATTTGTACATTCATTAATTCGAAATAACGAAACTACAAACTATTCGAGTTTTGGGCAAGCTTTTCGATTTTTTGTATACTCAAGTGGGAGTGATTTTTTAGACTGTTTGAAAACTCGACAAGGTTCGGGACAAGTCCGTGGGATGTGACCAATCAATCCAAACTCGTCCCATTCCTATCTCCATATCAACAGTGATTGATTCCATATTTGGTGCATACACAAATTCGTCCTGTTCCTAATCATATTATATCGATGTTTGGCACACAAATGCGAGAGGTGAGACCTCCATTTCTAGCAACATAAAACGAGTATCCTCCATGTTCAATAGGCTCTAGATGAACTATGTCCAATTACAATTGTCATCCACCGCACACCACCATTATCAAGCAATTTTCAGCATTACACAGGGGCCGATTTGTTTCACTGGAAACTTTTCGATGGAGGAAAATCTTTTCCCTGAAAATCATTTTCGATGAAAATAGTAAAATTTTCATTTGTTTTGTGGTTTAAGATAACCGGTTTCCTTCTTGTTAAAAAGGGGAGTCGTTTTTCCAAAATTTAAACTTGTTATTTTCAGTCTATGGAAAATATTTTACACATATTGATTAGTTTTCCGTCATCTAAACACTGGAAAGTCGGATTTCTCCTTTGGACAAACGGGACCCCAAAGTTCTTATTTTTATTTTCCCATATAATTCAAATTAAGAAAAGGAAACTTGGGTTGATATTCTAAACTTGTTGCTTTTGGGGTACCAAAGCAAACATCTCTTTCTTCCTTTCTTTCTTTAGGTCGCTCTAGAAGGAACTGCTTCCTATGGAGTTACTGCCCTTGGTTTGCTCAACCAGAACGTAGCCCTTGGAGTTTCAATGGGTGGAATTGATTGAGAGCACACGAGAATTCAATTCGTGGGGTCACCAATAGAGAGAGAATGGACATTATTGTAGACTAAGCTTTATTACTTTGAATTCCAAAGTGACCTCAATTTTCCTTGTTCAATTTGACTGTGCATCCTTTTGAGGGAAAAGTAAGACCAAAATTGAGATCCAAGGGAATGAAAATAAATATTTACATATTCTAATATTTTCGCGAAGTTTCGGGATCTGCAGTGACCATACATAATTAAATATATAATTTTTATACAAAACCCATGTCCTTTTTCGCCGGGGAAGATTCAGCAGTTTACTTAGATTCTGTTTACGATTATTAGTGTTATAACACTATATATGGAAGCGAATGCCCTACGAAATTTTAAGCCGCTTGGTCATATTTATATAGACAATTCTTCTTTTCTGTTTCTGAAAGCAAAAAACGATAATGAAAGCGTCAATTGGGTATCGGGAAAAAAAGCACAAATATAATCAAGTATTATTTTTATTATTTTTATTTTTGGTCGGAATATAATCAAGTATTTTGAAAGGATACAACTTTTGTATATCTCTAATTTAAAATTAATCAATGAAAAATTTAGCAGAATGTAGATATCTACTATTTAAGATAATGGATTTCTTACTCATGTGATTGGGTATGTGTACAAGTAAATTGATTTCTACTATTTCTTGCACTCTTATTATGCTCTTCCACGTGTCTAAATAATGGGGGAGAAAATTCTGTTTTTTTCTTTTTTAATCTCTCGAATAATGAAAAGATGTGAGACAATGCAGTACCATCTTCTTTTGTCCGGTCTATCTGTCGCCATAGTGTCGAAACATACGCAGAAAAAAAATATATTTTATTTTTATAAGCTTAATTTTTAGTACAAAACAGTTGAGCTACACTAACCACTGACATGGCGCTTAAATTGTTGTACGAAATTATGAGGGCCTGCTCAATAAAAATTTCAAAATCAAAACAAAAAATTTAGTAGTTTTTTTTCGAAAAGCGAGATAAATCGATTTTTTTTTTCGTCGATGAGATATATCAAGTTTAATAACCCCAATTTTAGGTTTAGTCTTAATTCTGCTTCTAACTTTTTTTTTGTCTCTATTTGTTTAAAAACCCATATTTATGTTTAGTACCAAATCTACCCTTGAATTTTTATTTTTTGTCCAAAAGAAATATAACCAATTTTTACTTTAGTCTCAGATCTGTCCTCAATAGCCCTTTGTCAAAAAAATTGCCGGTAGTCATCCCTGATTTTCATATCCTAGAATGGTACTAGATATGCTTGAAGTTTTTTTCGAGACAAAAAAAGTTCAGGGCATAATTACGACTAGAATTGATGTTGGGGTTTTTTTAGGGACTTAAGCCGTTTAATAAGGGTACTAAGTTCTTATTAAGACTCCGTTTATTTCGTGGAAAGTGCACGACATGGAAAATATTTTTCTAAAAATAAACGCTCGTATTGTTTGAAATAATCGATAAATAAAAAATATGTTTATTAACGGTAAAAATTTTCGTTCCATTTTGTAAGCAATACATGCGATCATTTCAGAGAAGAATATTTTTCAAATCATTCATTTTTCGCGAAACAAACAGAACACCGCCGAATGGTTGAATCTTAGAGGAATGCTTATGCAACTGTCCTGAATCTACCGTGAGACTAGCGACCTCTTTTGGGCCAAAACAAATAAATAACAAATAATTAAAAATTATCGTGGAGCCTGTTCCTTCAAGAATTTGTGGCTCATAATACATTACCCGAAGAGTATTATGTTAGCAAAGCCCTAAATCTTATGACGATACGAAAGAGATAGGATTAAGCGAAGTAGTCTCGCTTTTTTTTTTTACTACTTTTTTTCGTTCTTATCTACCATTATTCGATTCGCCTTATTAAATTCAAACGGGCTATGCATTATTAGCACCTAATGCTTTAGATTCTAGATTTTAATCTACGCTTTTTTATTTAATGATTTTCCTTTTTTATCTTTTTCATGCGTATATTTTACTCCCCGCTACACCCCCACCGCCTCAACACTTCACTTGCACTAGGGGCAAACCCACCAATTTCTCCTTTTTTCCTCCAGCAGAGCTTTTATAGAATGACAGCTCCCCCCCACCCCAGTCCCCTGACAGCCCCCACATTCTCCGCCACGTGGCAGAACAGTGCGGGAAAGAGGCCACGTGTAGGCCCCGAGCGAGACGGTCGCGCGAGATCCCCCCCCCCCCCCCTCCGTCCCCGTCAGGTTAGCAAAGCTCCGGCGAATTCTTTTTCGTGTTTTTTTTAACAGCGACAAATCAGCATTGGCTTTCTAGTTTCTACCGCCAGAGGTAATTCATCTAACCACGGTTGAATCCCAACCCGACCAGGGTTAAGCCCCCTCCCCCGCCGCTTTAAATACCATGAACCTCGGTCGTCTTCCACCCCATAAGCTTCCAAAAACCCCTCTCTGCAGCTCGGAGCTCCGCCGTAGAGGAGGAGAAGATGATGCTCGGAGAGCCTCACCGGCCGACCAACCCGACGATCGACGTCCCACCGTGGCCGGTCCTCGACGATCCGGCGGACGACGCGGTCCCCCACTCCCCGTACTCCCCTTACTCGCTCAATGCCGGCTTCGGCCGCTGTGACTCCTCCCCCTCCGCCGCGAGCCCCGGCCACCTCCAGGACGTCGTGGCGGCGCTCCGGCGGTACCTGCCGTCGAACCGCCCCGACGCGGAGCCCGACCCGGACCTACCGTCCTCGCGCGAGGCGGACTTCCCCATGGACGTCTACTCGTGCGACAGCTTCCGCATGTACGAGTTCAAGGTAAGGCGGTGCGCGCGGGGGCGGTCGCACGACTGGACCGAGTGCCCCTACGCCCACCCCGGGGAGAAGGCCCGCCGGCGGGACCCGAGGAAGTACCACTACTCCGGCACCGCGTGCCCGGAGTTCCGCAAGGGGAGCTGCCGGAAGGGGGACGCGTGCGAGTTCGCGCACGGCGTGTTCGAGTGCTGGCTCCACCCGGCGCGATACAGGACGCAGCCGTGCAAGGACGGCGCCGGGTGCCAGCGGCGCGTGTGCTTCTTCGCGCACACGCCGGAGCAGCTTAGGGTGGTGACCCCGCAGCAGAGCCCCAGGGGGGCTGCGAGGCAGCTTCCGTTCCTGGCCTCTCCGAGCACGGTCTCGCCGGAGGATTCGCCGCCGATGTCGCCGATGGCGGCCGCGGTGACTCACCAGTCTCTGAGCCGGTCGCTTGGGTCGAGCTCCGTGAACGAGATGGTGATGGCTTCGCTGAGGAACCTGCAGCTCGGTAAGGTTAAGTCTCTGCCTTCCACTTGGAATGCAAATGCTCATGTCACCCCCACCGGTTCTTTCGGGTCGCCGCTCCGACCCGGGTTCTGCAGCATGCCGACGACCCCGACCCGTGTTCCGGCCCGGTCGGGGATCGGATACTTGGATTTCTGGGACCAGGTTGAGGAGGAGGAGGAGGAGCCGCTGATGGAGAGGGTGGAGTCAGGGAGGGGCTTGAGGGCCAAGATGTTTGAGAAGCTGAGGGAGGAGAGCTCTCTAGACCGGGCCGAGCCAGAACAGCCCAGCCTCGGCGGCGGCGGACCGGATGTCGACTGGGTGTCGGATCTGGTGAATTGATTCGGATCCTGGGAAGTGGGAAGCGAGTGGTTCTGGATGTTCCTTTTTTGGGGTTCTTCTGTTTGCAGTGTACAGAACATGGAGGGAGGGAGGGAGAGAGCGAGAGACAGAGATGGAGAGGGAGGGCTTATGGTCTCCAGAGCAGAAGCAGCAATTCAAGATTCGGTGTATATATAAGTCTAGTATCAAATTATTAATTAATTAGCGTATATTTATAATAGATACAATGGATATTGTAGAAAGAAGGGTGTTTTTGGGGGGGTTGGAAGGTCAGATGGAAGCTGTCCTGATCTTTTTGTATTTGTGGGGTTGGTGGTTTTCCGAGAAGAAGATCAGAAGGGGGGAGAATAGTAGCAAGATTGGGTAATTTTTTCAAGTCAGGCCAGCAGCAGCAGAGATTGGATTTGGGCAATTTTATCCTCCTTTTGGGAATGTGAAAAATTTGGGGTTTAGACGAGAGAGTGGTATGATTAAGGTAAGAAGATAAGCAGCGCTCCCTGATTATTGTAAATGTTCTCTGGAGTCGGATACTCTGCACCTTATCTTCTACTGTCGTCTCTGCATGTTTTGTCAATCATCATCGAGAAGTCGTATGTATGGACTGCCGAGGTTTTATTCAAAACTGATTCCTGGCTGCGTCTGTGTAAACATCCGAAGAAGCACCATATGATAAATGATCTTTGTTCTTGTCATCTTCCATACCTTAGTTCTTGTGTCTCCTGTCGCTCTTCCTGGCCCTTCCTCCTCGCGTATTTTGCTTCTGGCGATCCTGCTCGCTCGGGTTGTTCCGAGTAATTTGTAAGCAGGTCGTGTTCCTATGGGTCCTTCGATGGAGGAAAAGCTTTTTTGGTCAGCATCCGACGAACTGTGGGAACATCATCTGACTAGTGATATGCTTGGATGTTCTGCGGGGCGTGATTTTTTTCTCTTATTTTTTTTATATTTAATCTGAATCTCGTGAAGCACTTGTTTTTAATTTTTTTCTTTCCAAAATCAAAATAGCATCCTGAATTTTTCATGGTATAGTAGTATCGACACGTAAATTTGTATAATGGTAAATTCACAATTCTAAAGTGACCTTGTATTTCTTTTTCAGCCCTCTGCTCTGGTGATGGAATATTTACTTTTATGTCTAATTTCGTTTATTTATTTGTATTGCTCGAAATAATTAATTAATAAATAATAATTTATAAAAATGTATATTTAAATATATTTATTAGTTATTGATTTATTTATTTTTGTGAGCGATAAAAATAAGGAAATATTCTTTAAATTGTTTATTTTTCGCGAAATGAATGAAGTATTAATGTGAATATGAATTATTTATTTTTACGAAATAAATGGAGCATTAATGTGAAAGCATTATGTACTGTAATGAATTCAAGGTTTCTACGAAGACCCTAAAATATTCATATCATGAAATCAAATATTTCAAAATTTTCATCGTGGCTTCGAAGTTCTAAATTATGGCCATAAACGATCATCTTTAAGGACACGCTCTTCCAATTAAGTTTTCTTTTCCGTGAAAAATTCGAAATATGTACGTTTATTAGAAAAGTATTATCCCATCGGTTGGTGTATTACTGATACGAAGAATAGGTTTTTTCCTTTCTTTTTTTGTTTGTCGGAGAATAATAATTTGAATTTTTCAGAAAAATTTAATGAAAGAAGACATTAGAAAGAAGGCATCAGAACGATCGAGAGTAGTAAAGCTAAAAAGCAGGGAGCATAGGCATATAGGCGGCGACAACTATCCCATTATTATTTTTCCCCCCCTTCGGACACGCAAAGGAAAGTCTTCCCATTCACTGCCCCGGTAAAACACTCTCTCCCGGGGGGAGCTTTTTTCCCTTCCGCCCCCACCCCGGCGTCCGTCGGATCAGCCTTTCCCTCATCCACTGCTTCCGTTTCCGGCCGTCGGATACGCGGGGCCCAAATCCTCTCGTCTTCTAGTCAATGGACGGAACCGATCCTTTTGGTGATGCAAGCTACGGTTTCCATTGTCAACATCTCCGTGGATTAAGGGTTTAAAAAAAAAACAAAAGAAAAACGAAGAGAAGAAACAAAGCGCCAAAAAAGCCGAAGCGGACGGTTTTTACCGATCCGTTGTCCTGATGGTGAGATCGTTTTTGTCCGAACGGGCTTTCGAGACCATTGACTTCCTCCTCCTCCTCCTCCTCCTCCTCCTCCTTTGGGCGTCCCTTGACTTGAATCCGGAGATCACCATCCCACGGCTAAATTGGAGCTATAGATTTGAGAAAACCTAACGCTTCTAGAATTTTGGAGGAGGAGAAAAGGAAAGAAAAGGGGAAATTATGTTTGGAGGAGGGGCTTCCGTGCTTTCGACTTTCTATAGATCTTGCAAGATTTCTCGATATTTGACCATTGTGCGACGTCGGAGATTGACATTTTGGACTCGACATATACTTTTTTTTTTCAAAGAAAAGAAAAATCGGAAATGGGAGTTCGAACTCGGAAGTGACCGGCGAGTATGAGCTAACGGGTGCAATCAGAGACCGACGTAGATTACGTGTTTATGGTTCGCCCGACTGTAGATCGGATTCATCACTTACCTATGGATGAAAGAAAAATTAGAGTATTAAAAGCTTAAGCTACTAGAAAGCACTCTCTTATGATGAGGGAGGGTTTCGTTTTGGTTTGCTTGTTTTGTCTCGTCAAAATATATGAAAAATGGGTATTAGAGGTGATTCGTGGTCGAACTTGGGCCGGACTCTCGCATTAGGCCTAAAGTGTTGCCCAGGCTTGCCCACCAAGAAACCCAAACGTATAAGTACAACATCAGTTTGTCGCGCTTGGTTTGGGCCTTGTAGAACCGAGCCGGGACTATTAACAAAGGCCCTTGTTCAGGACTGCCTAGAAGTGCCTTCGGGCCCTATGGCACTAGCCGTTAGGGAGGAGTATTGTTCGGGTGGGAGGTTCTCACTCTAGAACTAGGAATTGCCCATTAAGGACTGGTTCCGAAAAATTGAAACTGGGAACCGCCCGTTGGTTCCATGGATCTACCCGGGAACCGGACCGCTGGTCTGGTCCCGTTTCTGGGTGGGTCCATGGAACCGGTCCCACTAGCCAGAGACGGAGACGGAGATGGAGAGTTGGAGACGGTAGGGGTGAGCGGTTTCAAGTTCCTTACAGGTTCTACCTAGAACCTGTAACCTATCCTCGGGTACAGGTTCCTTATTTTTTGGAACCTGAAACCTACCGGTTGGAACTTGGAACTTAGAACCTACTCTGTCACAGGTTCTAGGGTAGGTTCCAGGGTCTAACAGGTTCTCTTTTTTTTATTTCATTTTCAGTTAAACACAATGAAAATGAACGCAATAATACCGAACAAATTTGTCATTCACCAAAGAGAATACAAAAGACTAGTTTTCCTGGCATTATGGTTCAAATATATAATTAAAATGAGAAGTCATTGCGTGAATCGATACTAGGGGTGAGTGGTTCCATGTTCCGTATAGATTCCACTTGGAACCTACCTATGAGAATAGATTTCTCATTTTTTGGAATTTGGAACTTATCTTATCACAGGTTCCAAGTTGGTTCCAGGATTTAACTAGGTTCCACCACTTGCTGATTTGATCCACTGACCACAACTTGTATTAGATACATAAAAAATATGAAACATTAACAAGTCATGAAATGAAAGCTCAGACTAACGGTTTCAGATTATATATTCATCATCTAACACCATGAAACACCACAGGATCACGTGAAGACATAAACCAAGAAAAAACACAAAAAAACTTATTTAGGTTTCAGGTTTCAGGTTCCAGGTTCCACCTACCTAGAACTTAGAACCTACCCATCGAAACAGATTCCCTAATTTTTGGAACCTGAAACTTACCCTGCATACCTTGAAACCTGTAACCTACAGGTTCTCATTGGTCAGGTTCTCAGGTTTCAGGGTAGAACTTGAAACCATGCTCACCCCTATAAGACGGTGAGGTGAGCATCGACCGAGAAGAGTGAGAGCGAGAGTGAGCGTGAGGGTGAGGCAAAAGCGAAAAAATGTGTTTTTTGTCTCAATGTGAGTCTGTGAACGTCGAGTAAGTTATGTTTAGTTTAGGAATTTAAGAATTTTCTTTTTTTAAAATAAAAATTAAATAAATAAATATATTATTATATTATAGGTGTTGTTCGGGTGGGTGGGTGAGCGGTTCCACACCTGGAACCGGGAACCGCTCCGGTTCCGGGCGATTCTCGATTTTTTGTACATCCCTACTAGCCGCATCCATGGATCGTTATGTCCATTATCAGGTCTATTATATTAAGTTTATATATGAGAAAGTTTCGTGTACTTAAATTTTAAAAAAAAAATCACAATGCTTACGCCGCAATATTTGAAGAAAAAATAAAAGTCACTTCATTCGGATTTAAATGTTGAAACTCTTATAGTGTGAGCTGTCAACACTGACTCCTCCATCTACTGTTGAGATAAGGAAGCTGGCGGGAGAGTAGAAACACAAAAATGAATAGAGGAAAAGTCGGAGATCTGAGGTATAGGACAGCTTCTGTTTGAGTTAAACACTTATCTTATCCTATATAATTCCGTCCTACCTCGAAATCTAAACGGCCAAACACAGCCTTTATCTTCTAGATTACTCCTTTAACCTGCCGATCAAATTACTTCGGTGTCGATTAATCCGATGTAATTCGAGTGTCCAAATTCGGAATTTCCATTTGGGTGGGGGGTTTGCCTTTGCAGTGCATTTCCCCTCTAGATCACGGTCAATCAAGGCGGTCGATTATGGATGACAATCATCAACTTTTAATGTCAAGCAAAGAATATTTGTCTCTTATATGCCCATTCTAATCATCATCCCAATGCTGTGAAATCTTTGATTTTTGTCAATGACCAGCAAACTACAGAATCCAGGGAAAGGAGTGCCTTGTAGTGCATTTTCCCAGCACATGGAAGCTCCGGTCAACACAAGTGCATGATACGTCTTGCTCCAATTAAGTGCAAATCCCCTCCCCAATTGTCACCATCATCACCACCATCTCGTGCGCTCCTGTGTGCTTTTCCTAGGGTTAATACAGACCACTAGTTCGAGCCCCCGTGGTTGAAGAGAATGGAGAAGACTGTTAGGTTTGTACTTTTCAATCGTCATCATCTCGAGGGCTAAGGTCTTATCTTAATATGATATAGACTAAATGTCGAGTGGGGATTACGTCGTTTTTGTTAATTTCGGGCGGGGCGTGGTCCGAGTTGTATAAATTATCACTAGGGATGATGCATACCTCCGATTGCTACCTATGTGATATGTAATAATTCAAAGGCGTGATGGCACGCCTTGATGTGTTTGGCCACTAAAATCTCCACATCGACGCTTTGATGGATGGGTTTGATAGTGAAACGGGAAGAAGCAGGCACAGGAGGGTCGCCATCGATTGCCCTTGCTTGATAAGTCAATAGAGTTTAAAAAAAAATACTGCGCAATCAATGTCAACTTTGTCTATGCATATTACGCAATTGATTTATCGATTCCCATCCCTACACACGCTATTCCACTACATGGAATGCTTTGGCTCTTCTTACATAAGAAAGTGAACCCGATTTATATTAAATCGGGAAAAACTCATCGAGTTCGAGATATCGAATCTTCATATACATCTCGACGATTTATCTGTTTTTTCGATGATGTCCCACAGTACCAAGTACCAAGAAAAATTCTATTCCTATAGAAATTATGATGAGTCAGATAAAGGAGATCGTGAATTACTTCTTCGTTCTTTGTTTTTTTTCTCTATTGCGACTTTCGGCAAAGCCACTTGTAACTTTTCTTTGATTGGTTTTGTATAGTCCGAGTCGATAAATATCGATTTGATCTTTCGTAGTATTTCCTAGTATCAAACAATGGGATTTTACTAACTTGTTGGGTATGTTAGAATGTTGAACTTTAATGGACCCTTACTTGATCATTGTTTTTAGGTTTGTCAATGTCGGTATTGATAGTGTTAGAAATTGCTTGACTTGGGCTTGCTTGAATCGAGCTTATGGGCTTTGGGCCTTTCGATTGTTGTCGGCCCAAAATTGGAGGCCAGAAATGGAGGCCCATTTCTATGATTGGACTAACATGGTGTTGACTGTTGGTAATTCTCTCACAAAAAAAAGGAAAGAAATTAGGGTTAGCTAGGACCACAGCTAGGATTGGCTGCGAGAGTCATGACACTCGTGGTGAGCGGCGAGCAAGGTTGCAATTAGGAGAGCGAGCCGTGAGAGAGAGGCGTGAGACTTGAGAGCGAGCGACGAGGCTGAAGGCTGGAGGCGATCGAGAGCGAGAAGTAGAGAGGGAGGTGAGGTCGTGACTGCGAGGGAGGGCCGAAGGTGAGGCTGTGACTGTGATGCCGCGGTAGAGGTTCGGAGGTGAGAGCTCATTGAGAGTTGATCGAGAGCAAGATGAGGTGAGAGAGTTAAGAGAATAGTGCAAGGAGGCAACTGAGGCTGAGATGAGGCAAGATAATTAGGAATTAGGGTTTTGATTTTGAAAACATAAAAATTAATACGTACATATATGTGTGTATGTACCGGTCTGGTCCGAGTGGACGGTTCCACACCTGGAACCGGGAACAGCTCATAACTGGTCGGTTCGGTTCGATTCGGGCGATTTGTGGTTCTTTTGCATACCCCTAAGCGTAATTGGAGTAGGCTTGTGCCTTGCGATGAAGAAAATTAAAATCTTTTTATGAATTATTTTTAGTATAAAGATTAAATTAATATCATTATTTCTAGGCCAAAAGCCACCAAAAATCCTATACTATGCTCACCGTGACACATTTACCTTAAAATTTTTCTAATGACACCAAAAATCCCAAACTTGTACCCGTGTGACATATTTACTATCCGTAAAAATTCTATCAATGAAAACCTTTAAAAATTAACCTGCACAGATGCCATAAAAGCAAATAGTGCCGACATGGCGTCCACGTGGCTTAAATGAAATAAAATGACGTTGTTTTGGCTAAAAAATCATCTAACGGAACTTTGACGGAGGGTAAATGTGTCACATAGGTACAAGTTCGGGGTTTTTGATGTCACAAAAAAAGTTTTGGGATAAATGTGTCATAGTGGGCATGCTTTGCTGTTTTTAACGTCACAAAAAAAATGTCAAAATAAATGTGTCACAGTTGGTATAGTTCAAGATTTTTTATGGCTTTTACCCTAATTTTTTTTTGCATTGAATGAGTTTGTTACAAATTTATGTGATGAAAGTTAAAAGTGTAACGCACGTTACTTATTAATAAAAAGTCCTCTCATTCTATGTGTTCTTAATAGACTATATGTCAATATAGCACTATGACTATAAGTACTCTTCATTTATTGTTCTAAATTTGATTTGTCACATAATAAATTCACTCAGGAAAATTGAAATGATTTTTTCATATTTTGGATCCAGCTGCAAGATACTTAGAAAATTAAAAAAATAATAAAAGACACATGAGTGGATTGATTTGAAATTGCATAATAGAAGAATTACAATCCTATGCTCAACAAGATAAGTTGAAAAACAAAAAAAAAAAAAACAGAAAACAGATGATAAATTTGTCTTTGTTTGGATTAAAAGAAAATTAAGAGAGGAAATCTTATGTTAGTTAATAAAAGGAAAGAAAAATTTTTAATTAGATATGGAAAAAACAATAAAAGAGTAAAATTAGAAAAAAAGGGCGGTCCAACTCCGGTCGGCCATTTCGCACTTTACCAATTTTTCCCAAAATGTTTTGTATGATTATAAATCTAGACGCTCGCCAACTACAAAATGACACGCGACGTATCGTGATCGACGCTCGAACAGCGGTCATTCAAGCCGAGATTCTCCGACCGAAAAAAAACAGAGCCGAGATTCGAAAAAAGGACCATCATAATTAATTTTATAAAGCGATTATTACGATGTTGAAATATCGTCCAACATCGTCCAACGTCGCTTGATAGTAGGTCCTATACGCCTTTTGAGACCGTACATATCCGACATATTCTATAGAAGTAACGAAATTTTTTACGAGCAATCGTGAGTTTATGGGTTTCACGTGGGGCAAAATCGAAGACTAATCAAAATTCTCTCTCGAGCACGACACCGATTTGGCTAATTCCTTGCCCCATTGCATCATCCTCTCTATGCCCATCAATACCATAAAAAGATTTGACTGCGAAAGCTTAGCTCTCGCAAATGTCAAACAGGGGGGACAAGTTTTTGATTTCTTGGGAGCCAGTGCAAAGCCCCCCCATGGACTTGGTCTATATCTTGGGTGCATCACGCCATCTAGAATCCAAACACGTGTGCATTCGAAATACCCTCGGGCCACTCCTCGGTCTCGGGAAACCTTATCTGTCTGTTGCGTAAATTCGATGCCGGTGTCCCTTTCGCGCCCCTTTTCGTTTATCAGAAAAGAAAATAAGGGACGATTATTCTCGACTCAGATATGGAGATTTCTGGGGGCACGCCCATAATTAGCCGACTACTCGGATGAGAACTTATACCGTAGCAACCCGTCGTCATGATCCCTCGCTTAAATCCGAGTTCCTTTCCGATTCTAGAGTCGAAAGCGTGGGAATGTAGCTTGAAGAGGGAAACGCCAGCTGGATAAACAAATGGAACTTCAGCACAGCACAACCGAGAAGAATTTTTCTTTTGAGTGTCCGGTTTGGACAAAAGCTTTGACGTTGACACTATCCTGTACGACAATTAATTATCACCTAAGCTCTTTCCATAAGTTAAGATAATTATATATCAAGGAACATGTGACATGCGTTAGATCTCGCAAAATATCGCGTACTTCAAACAAGTTCGCGATGTTATGATCGATTCTGTCCATCGTATTGCTCACTGACTTGTGGGCCGACACGCTATTTGATAAACCAATTTCGTTGACCGGTTTCTATGAACGGCATTACTGTACTCGTGTCTCATACCAACCAAATGCAATGAGCGTTAAGTTGCGATCGGGTGCAGTTTCTCGGTTCGTCCCTTATAACTTACAATTCTACGTCCGCCGTTGCACAACGACGACCCGGTTAAAAGCTGAGACGCCGAATTTTTTTAATTTTGGTTAGAGGATAATGTGCAAAGAGCTAGGTCTTCCACGACTGCTGATCAGAACTTCCACAAGATGACCTCAAAAGGCAAGCAATGACATTTCTTCACGAGCATCCATATTGACTGGGCTCTCTCGCTCAAGATCACAAGAAATTGCAGCTACAAGCAAGCTTTGCATCAAGACAAGGATATGATTGGAAAAGAAAGACTCAGCGGTCATAAGGTCAAGGTGTGTATGTCCCAATTTTCTCATCCACCTCTATTCTTCTATACATAAAGTTACGGGTGCTCGTTTATCAGCTCTCTGACAAACTTGAGTTGTGTCTGTTTGGCTGTTTTGCTGTCCCTGAGCGCTTGTCTGGTTTGACTAAGTGGCGGCCATGGTAAGATCTCCTTGCTGCGACAAGGCTAACGTGAAGAGGGGGCCTTGGTCACCTGAAGAAGATGCCACCCTCGTGAGCTACATACACAAGTACGGGACCGGCGGCAATTGGATTGCTCTTCCTCACAAAGCCGGTCTCTCTCTCTCTCTCTCTCTCTCTCTCTCTCTCTCTCTCTCTCTCTCTCTCTCTGTGATAGCTTTTCATGTACTGCTTTCAACTAGAAGTTGCAAGAAACATTGTTGAGTGGAGTTCAGGACTCTCAGGATTGTGAAGAAAGTTGTCAGTTTCAGTCTTCTCTTGAAGAACTTGATTGTTTAATCTGGATGATTAATGGGATCTTTTTCTTTTTGTTTGGATTTTGAAGGGCTTAAGCGCTGCGGCAAGAGTTGCAGGCTAAGGTGGCTGAATTACCTGAGGCCAGACATAAAGCATGGAGGTTTCTCTGAGGAGGAGGATGACACTATATGCACTCTTTTCTTTACCATAGGAAGCAGGCAAGCTTTAACAAATTAAGTTCATTCTAAAATCAGAAACTTTTTTACACTAGTTAATTTCACTAGACTTTGATAAAAGCCCTGCGAAAATGATAGAAACACTATGGTTGCTGTCGACGCAGGTGGTCAGTAATTGCTTCCAAATTGCCAGGAAGAACAGACAATGATGTGAAGAACTACTGGAACACCAAGCTGAAGAAGAAGCTAATGAAGCAAATTGTTTCTCAGAAAACATTGCCTCAAAGTAACTTTAATTATCAGGGCTGGGCACGGAACTCGGCCTCAATCAATCGTGAGACCAAGAATCTGGAATATGCAGATAATTCAATGGGGTTCCCCAAGCAGAACTTCAATCCAGGAACACCCACTTCGAAGTCGAGTCTTCTCTATCCTCCAAGTCTCACTGAAGTTTCGGATTTTAACCATGTACCTTCGTCCACGCGAGAAGTTTCGAGTCATTCTGATTCGTGCTCTGTGGTGATGAAGAGCGAGTATTCGGGGTCTGCAAACGGCGGTTCCGAACAGGACCAAGTCCTATTGGACTTTGATCTTGATAGTATGCTCAATGACTTTGGCTTCCAAGATCAGAGCAGCTAAGCACAGTTCTTGTTTCACAAGCGTCACCTTCACTGGTCAAGTCATCAACATAAGAAAAAAAGAAAGAAAATTAGGAACCTTAAGATTTTTCAGGAGTTGATGTGAAATTTTAGTGTCTTAACTCTATCGAAGTGTCTGAAGGGTGATTTAGTCGAAGTTAAATGCGAGATTTCGCTGTTCTTTATCATGATATATATTTTGCCGTGGCCTACTTGTCAGAATCTCCCAGGCATATCCTCAGTTTACGTCTTAGGATGAATCAATGTACTTGAATACATAATTTAATGAGCAAAGTTTGATCATGTATTTACATCAGCTGACTCACTCAAAACTGGAAAATCAAGTCTTGAGTTTGTTAGTGACGTAATCGAGGAAGCCAGTTTCGTTGCAAAAATTTATGTAGGATACTTTCTTCTGCAAGCAGGATATAATACACATGCTAAGATCGAACAAGGAATCGATCTAGACAATAATTTCTTCTCTTGCTTTCTTCCTCCCCTCTTGTGTATGCTTGTGCACACGCATAATGGCCTGCACATCGCTTGCTTGAGAATGATGCGACGATCCTCGAAGCGTGAGCGCTACTCAATTGGTACATCGTTAAAGTCTTGGCTATGATCTATCATATACTTTAACTTCTACGGTAGTATGATGAAGCCAATGCCTTTCCTCAGAAAGTATCTAATCAAGTCTCTTTTAGAAAATGTTCTCGCATCGATTCCTCTAGCTAGTGTATCTTCTTCGGTCCAAATTACGACTCTTCAAAGGGCTGCGCAATTACCTCGGGACCTTCTGTTCTTGGAATTTTTAGATCATAGACTATTCCAAGAGATCGACACATCTGTTCTTTTTCCCGGGTTACATTCAAAACAGCGGCTTTGAGCCAAAGGCAGATGTTACCTTCCAGTGATGATGGTTCAATGAAGTCAAGTCATTGCACTTAATTTCTAAAAGCAGTGTCTCACATCATATCTTTGAATTGATAAAATTAAATTAATCAATTATTTCATTTGATGAGCTTAGTAGAGCAGAGATACCCCAATCAGCTCCTCAAAGGCCATGTTTCCTTGAACTTTCCTCACTTACTTGACATTTGCTTAGTTTACTATACACCCATTTGAAAAATCCACTGATTGAGGCAGCCCAGAAAAAGAAATTATTGAAAGCTAAAGGCTCACACACTTGCCTCCACTAGATGACTTGAATATGCTTATTCTGATTAAGATGATCTTGCAAGACTCAACAGTGTGCCATGAGTCAACAGGAAGGAGCATTTTTTACTTTGCGCAGCAACCTGTACCCCTCTTTTCTTGAACTTGCTCTATAATATTTGTCTGAACCATCCTTTTCAGCCTTCCATATTGTAGCAAGTGTCCTTTTTTCTGGTCTATAATGAAGTGAAGTCTTTTATGCACTTTCTCATAGACTCATAAAGCTCTCCAGCTGTTGTTTCATGCAAAAAGAAAGACAGACCAACATAGCTGGAAATGGAGTTGTCTACTTTGTCATGCGTCGTCTCCATGAGGTCCACACTAATTTTCCTAGTGATTGATCTTGCAAACGGTCCGCGCCTCTCTTCTCATCCTCCTTTTCGCTTTCGTTAGGTCGGCTATTTCCTCGAAACCCTCCTCTACTTCTTCTTTCCTCCGCGAGAATTAGATGCTTCCCTCGCACAGCGACACCGCTTGATGAGACGAGGCTTTCGGTTCGTAACATGAATCGCAGAACAATCCTGCTTGCAGGGGAAATAGGAAATCTCGTTGAACAAGAGTTTTGTGTTCAGTTGCTCTTTGTGAGAGCTCCCTACACAGAATTTTCCTGAAAACTCCCATCATGTATAGAAGAGGACCGAACTTATTTAGAGCAGTGAGGAGTGAACTGTGGTACTTCTTAAAAGCTTAATTAGTGCACGAAGAATTTGAACTTAGCCAAGTAGAAATCATTGCACACGGTCCCCAAACACTTGCTAAGGTTGCTGATGTTAGGATTAGTCGAATAAACATAACAAAATAGAGGGTAAAGGCGAGGAAGAGAGATCGAGACCCAAGGTTTATTCAAGTTCATCTTTAAACTAGGACTATATCCAGTAGAAGATTCAACTATAATTAGCACCTCTCACCTTTCTGTTACAATTCTCAATTACAAGAAAAAAGATTATATATACTTATTGGCTATTCATGGCCCAACCGCAAATTATTAATAAAATATTAACAAAAGTCCTCTGGCGTCAAGGAGGCGTTGCCACCTACGACCCTGCCGAGATGGCCCCTGTACAGTGTTGATGGGGGAGTATGAACTGCACCCTAGCAGCTGCAACATAAAATTTACAAGAGGTCGCGAGATAGAGAGGAGAAACCACCCGACTTATGCTCGCTTTCTCTCGGATTTGATACAGGCTCATGATTACACGAGAGAATAGAGAAGAGCTTACACCCGACATGTGACACTTTTTCGACGGACCAAAGTCAAGGGTTGAGTTAGAAACTAACGGCTCCTCAATTTTGAATTCCTTAAACGCCGGAAGTTTGAAAACAATCAGGTTAATGAAAACCTCCAGGAAAAAAAAAGAAAAAACAAGAAAACCAAGAACGCCCCAGCGGCGGAATTCGAAGCATGAATAATTTAATCATTTGGTAGGGAATCATTCAAACCCCCAATCACACCACCTTTCATGTGGAGGGTGCAAAAGGAATCTCCATTCATTGGAGAGAGAGAGAGAGAGTGAGTGAGTGAGAGATGCACTGTCCTATGCAAATCAAATCATATACATAATACATTTTATAATAAACGGGAAGCGTTTTATAAAGTCAGCGTGCTAGTTAAATAATGTGACGAACTGTAAACTTGATCACCGTTCGATATCAGATAACATTGACTTCGTAAATCGGCATGGCCGGAGTATACCGTGCCAAGCGCGTGCTGGAGAACCGCAATTTCCACTCGACCCTTTTTTTTTGTACCAAAAAAAAAAAATCAGGCACCTGAAGTTAAAAGAGACCGTCACCCTTAAAATAAAAACAGAGGGTATCCGCCGTCATTGTAAAATCTCCTTTTCCTGTACATTCACTTTTTTTTATTATCGAGTTCTATATATCCATTTTTAAGCGGACGATATGGTTACATAGTTATCCATCAAGTATACATGTGGACCGTCCAACGGGCTGATGTCTAAATAATTTTTTTTTTATAATTTGCAGCGGACCTAAGGAATTTGTTTTTTTGTGGCATAACAGCTCGAATCCACCTGGCGCCTTGCCGCCCGTACAGCTGGCGTCCCATCAACGGTCAACAACTTTGGAACCCAATATATTTCCATCTCTCCCTCTCTCTCTCTCTCGATCTCTCGAACCTCACTCCGGCGAGCACTTGCAGACAGACGGAAAGAGAGAGAGATTAGCGAGCGAGCGGCGACGATCGATGGCGGTGTCGAGATCGAGGATGAGCTTCTTCGCCCTGCTCTCGCTCCTGCCGGCCTTCCTCCTGCCGCCGCCCTCCGCCGCCGCCGCCCGGAGCCCGGCGCCCGCTCCTTCCAGCGACGGTTCGTCTCTCTCTCTCTCTCTCTCTCTCTCTCTCTCTCTCTCTCTCTCTCTCTGTGTCTGCGCGCGCGCAATCTGGCGACGGGAAATGGTGTTTGGCGAAGCGTCGCGGAATGAAACTTTGGTTGCCTCGTCTTGTGTGCAGGAGTGGCGATCGATCAGGGAATCGCGTACCTGCTCATGCTCGTAGCTCTGGCGCTCACCTACATCATCCACTGAAAGATCTCCCATCTCTCTCTTGATCTCTCTCCTGCGAACGAAACGAAACGAAACATCGCCAGATTCATTTCGTTTCATTTCATATTTTTTTCGATCTGTTCCTTTTCGATCCTCCATGGAATTAGGGCTCCCACATTCTCAGCCATCACCTCTCCTTTTCGTGTTCACTTGTGTTGTTCGTAGTAGAATGTCGCGGTTTGCGTTCGTCTCATTTCGTATTCTAAGCAAATCCCCATGCGCAATGCACGACGAGCATTGACGGTCGAACTGAATTAACTCGAACCGCGAATCAAATCGGGCAAAAATTTCACGCAATTTCGATCTCTTTCTATTTTTATTTTAGAGATCGCTAGAAGTTCTCGTTCATGCGTTTCCATCTTTTACAATTTTACGGTTTGATCGCGAGCAGCATTTCGAATTATCAAAAAGCGCCAAAAATGGAGGAAGGAGACGGCTATATATTCGCTATCTAATCCTTTTTAAACGACAGCTTTAGGCTGGATTTGCTCAAAGTCGAACACGTCGAACATGAGCCGCCTCACGTCCGGCTTGCCGTACACCGCGTACGAGAGCCCGTGGATGGCCTGCTGGACGGCCGTCGTGGCCGGGTTCCGTAGCCGCCGGTTGTGCTCGTACGAGTCCTGCACCTGCTCGGAGTAGATGATGAGGTGGTGGAGGTGCTTGTCCCTCAGGTACCGCCCGCAGAACTTGTTCATGAGGACGCGCCGGTGCCTCTCCTGCAGCCATTTCCCCGGCGCGTCTATGTGCTTCATCAGTAGCCTCTCCGCCATCACCAGATCCTTAAAGTCAGCATCATCAGGAAAATTAGAATGCGCTTCGGGGATGAACTTAAAAGATTTCCAATTGCATACACTAATACGCGCACGGTCTCGACTAGATTGCTGCTATGATTTCGCAGACTCTTATCCCCATAATTGATCTTTGAGCAAACCTACCTATCCTTCATCCTTAGTATGTCAGGCTTAATATCTATGTAAGTTCTAATAAACATGATGACAATTTTATCTCAATGCCCTAAATTGTAGCTATTGCTTGCTGGACAAGCAGTTTTGGATTTCGACCCATTTTAAATTGACAGGGCCGCGCTAATTACATATATACTCGAAGAAAATGAAAACATCGACTTTAGGGGTATATCTATTATTTTTGTCATCCTTTACTATGATGTACTGCACTTCCGTAAATCAATTCGAAGCATTATCTTTGTAACGACCGATCATGTCGTATCATGACCGATGCGAGAGGGACATGTACCTGGATCTTTTGGCCGACGTACTCCAACCTCTCGTAACAGAATCGAGGATGATCAAACTTGTATTTCGATGGGTGTAAGAAACATAGCTGCATGGGGAAAGGACAAGAGCAACAATGGTTAAGGAAGCCGCACCAGACCATACAAATTTGACCTCGACAAAGTTAGGCAAATATATAACATGGCGAAGCTAATAATGCGCACATAATAATTCCTGCAGCGTCAAAGCAAGCGAACTCTTGTCGTATTAAATGTAAGATGTGAAAAAATTCATGAAATGGAGTGTGCTTACTTTAGTTCCACAATTTTTAGCTCAAATTCACAGTTTTCATAGTCAAA